TGACTTCTTTATTCATCTGCTATGCTGCATCTTTGAACATAGCAGCAACTGTGGGTCTCAATTCCATGATAGCTTCTCCTACAGGAATAGTCTGCCAGCTCAGAGTTCGTCATCATTGCAATAATGGACAGGTTCTTTCTCCTTGACTCTCCTTCACATACCACCTGGCACCGAGTCCATCAAAAAGAGTAGTGAGGGACAGACTAACTCTCATTGGTCCCCACTTGACCATGGCACAATGGACAGCCTTTCTCATTATTCCCACAATACTAAATCTAACTAAGATCACAAAGTCTGGTGAAATACATAGACTTTTGTAATAGCTCATGCCACCAGCATAATTCAAGGGCTAGCAGGATTCCATCAGCTTGCTCACCAGCCTAGTTTGGTGAGTGACCCAAATCTTAACTGCATTTGCAAAGCACATGTTCCAATGTCCAACAGCCTGGGCACCTGACTACACTTTTGACTGATTAAGACCTTGCCCTAAGAAATCATTCTCAAACATCCTAATCTAGCTGTTATCATGAAGCCTGGTGCATTCCCATGAACCCTGCCTGCTATAGCCATCCTCACAGGCCTAGTTGGATCTATCAGACTGCACATTATCCCAGGCTGATGAGAGTTCAAGATTATATCATTATTTTTCCAAAGAAATACTAATTTGCCCAGCCATAGCTTGAGTGACACAGCCTTATTCCACTCTAGCCTGGTGAATGACCCACTACATTTCCATATTCACAGTCCTAGCTTGTCTGAAGCAGCCTGGAAAGCAGACCATTCTAGTGAGTGATCAAGACCCTGTCCTACTATACTATTTTCACACTTCAAGCCTCACTCCTGTCAGACAGTGTGTACCTTGCCATGCCTGGTTGGCAGGATCTTGCTCCCAGATATGCTCAAAATAGCTAGTGCTTTCACAATCCTACCCTTACTGAGGGCATCCATGCAGAATTGTGAGTGACCCAGAACTGCTTCAATTCCACACCATTATTATGCTCCAGGCCTGACTTGGGTTGTTAAGCCTGCACACAAGCCCAGCCTGTGAGTGATCTAAACCTTTTTCAAAATGTTATATTCCTAGAGCCTCCAGTTGACATGGGATCAAGTTGCCTGCTTACCAACCTACCTAAAAGAGTGACCAGGACCCGGACCTCTCCCACCATCCTAACAATTACAGGACTTATTCCAGTCAAGCCTTGTAGCCAAGAGGAAAAAAAGTGAGTGCCCTCATGTCTAGAGGGTATGCTCCTCACACTAAGAGGGGGTCTTACAGCCTAGCTCTTAGAGGAATCAAGCAGCTTCCTCCAGCTCTAAGCAAACCTCTAACAAATACAACCTGCTGGGTAACACAGACTCCTGTCTTTCATTGCCATCCCAATTGGTCAAGCCACAAACATACTAGCTCAGACTGGAAAAAGAGAAACAGGCTATCCTAACATCTTCCTCAAACTCCTAGGCTTGGATCATGCCTAAATATTATACCTAGTGAAATGTATTTCTGTATACAAGGGTAGAAATTAAAAACAAAAATTGGCACAATGATACCATGCTTTCCAACCTGACCCAAGGACTTGTGATGTCCTATACAAATAATTAGATCCTAACTGTTAGTGACTCATAGTGTGGCCAGTCTCAGGAAAGACAAAGGGGACTGGGAAATTTATCATCTAAATTAGTGTGAAGTCCACTTCCTACCTCCCCCTGGCAGAAACAACCGTATTCGTTCTCAGAGCTCCATTCCACCCTGTCCTTACTCCACCTCCTTCTCTTTCTACCCATATTTTTCATAAGTAGTCTTCTGTGATTTTCTTTCCTCTGGTACATATGATTTATAAAAACACTTAATCGTCCAATGTAAGGGCTAAACATACAGAACGCTTCAGAACAAAATATTTCTACAGATGATAATGAAATTACTACCTACTTATTTCCATGTTGAATATAAAAAAAAAAACCCTTTATTCCCTGGTTACAATTTCTTATCATAGCATGACAGAACAAGGACATTCATAACAATAGTCTCTTTCAAATGTTTAAAAGCAAAAACCAAAAAACTTCTACCCTGTTTCAAAGAGCTATCAGGCTTCCTGAGAAAAACAACCTCACAAAATAAATGTATTGTTAGTTTAATACAATGATGATAAAATTTGCTTTCTGGGTGCTTACTTTAAATAGAAAGCAAGGAGAAGGGATGTAAAGATGAAAAGATTTACATACGAAGATGAAGATGCTAGGGATGGAAAGGAAAATGAGAAAAAGTTTGTGTGGGTCTCAGTAAGGTTGTTGAAGGTATGTACATGACACTTAGAATGTGTATGTCTTCAACAATGAAGAATGACCTCTATGTATATCAAGAGTTCTTATAAGTTATTAGCATAAATCCTAAAGCTTTAAGAAATTAAACTATTATAGCTACTGGGTCAAAAATGTTAATATGTCCATGTTTGTCTTAATACCTCTACAGGTTTATTTATGCTGTTCAAAGATATTTTCAGAGGATCCCCAAACTAAGTTTTAGATAAATATGCAATATCATTGTGTGTTTTGATTTGTTTTTGTTTTTTATCTCCCTTTGCAACTCCAGGAAATTCAAGTTTCATAGACCATTCCTAAGGATAAACCATAGTTGAACAAGCTCATTTATGACTCAAAAACCAAATATATAAACACACTCAGAGGATAAGGTATTACCTTGTTCAGGAACAGCTTGCAAAATAAACTTAT